ACCAGGCAGCATTTACAAGAAAACCAAATTGTACCCATTACTGTATGCTAGTTTTATTACTAATGCAATTAAGGATACATGGGTTTAGAACATTTCATTTGGATGTAAGGGTGCCCCAGCACATGTTCAAACCGGCCTGTACTGAGAGTGTGTCACAACACTGATGGTCTATCCTCTGAAGTAGTCCAATGAAGAATCATTTGAGTAGCACATACAGCATTTTGTCTCATCATATCTATGCCCATTAGTTGCACATTAAGAAAACATTTATGGCAATTACAGTCTATCTACAGTACAATACCTTAATGGGAAACAGGTAAGGATAAATAAAAGAATATCACACCTTTGAAAATCTTTATATATACATATTATCACACATATAAAAATGAAGATGATACATAGAATAAAGTTGACTCATTACTACAGATAGCCTATGGACTAATTTATATGAAGGTAATTTTGTATAGTTATATTATACTTTCTGTGAGTGAAAAATATCTGATCATGCAAAGTAAATTCCAGACAGAAAAATCAATTCTTTCACCCAAACAAAACAAGAATTATAAAAATAAATCCCAGGGGTAATTTAGCTGGTTACACCTGTGTATTACTGTTGCATTCATAAACAATTCTACTTTTACATACAAGATAGATTTTTCTTCTTTTAATAACACTTTGGTTTAGTTTAAAACATTTTCTATTTCATAAATTGTATAATTCATAATAAACATTTTTATGAATTATTTGTTTTTTAAAAAAAGTTTTGTTAAATTAAAACAAATCTGCATTTTGGAAAACAAAAACATGGAGAAAGAGACAACATAAAGGTCATCTTCTAAACAGCTTAATACAACTGAGTAGCAGAGAGAGAAAAACAACACGATTCATACCGATTTCTGTACAATATCTACAGGTCTTTGCTGGTGACAGAAACACACTGGGATCAGAATATCCATCTGATGTTCATAGCTCTAATGGAGAATAATGGAGGGCCTGATTTTTGCCCAAAAACAAGAGGGCAAAATGCCACGCTAGGGTATCAAGGTAATAAGAGACAAACAGCCATCTTCATATAATATCAACAGCGTTAACAAAATTAGCCTTTCCCTAAGCTTTCGTCTAGCAGTAGTTGTAAATTTGCTATTTTAAAAAACTCACTAACTGCTAATATTTACAAATGAGGCCAAGCTATGAGACGGAATATTGTACAACAAACTGTATGGATTTTTTTTTTTTTGGGGGTGGGGGAGGGTTACCATGGATGAGCATTTTGGCTACAAACAACAACGCACACAAAAAGTTACCTCTACAAATATCATGTGTAGTCTCCATATGTCTCGGTGCGTTCTAACAACAATGAGGAAGCAACTTTTCACAAGAGGACTGAATTGTTTTAAGTACGTTTAATATATTTTTAATTTCTTCTTTATCCATTTTCTCCACAGCCTAAATACTCCACACTGAAATGAGCTGCAATAAGTTACCAAGTTTCGCTTAAAAAAAATTACATTCATACTGCTGCCCAGTGATGCACTCTAATCTCATACTAATGTAAACATGTATATAAACACTATCCTAATTAAATGATTGCAAAAAGCAAAAAAACACATACCCCATTCACTAACTGTGGTTTTTGCATTCCATGAATGTGAGCGGTCTTACAAAACAAAATTGCTAAAAACCACCAAATAAATGGTTCCATCAACCTTAAAATTTCAAAAAACTTCAAATTTTCAGAATAATACAGGAAACAGGAAGGCAATGTGTTTTTGCATGTGGTCTGATGATTAGTGTGCCATATCTTGGTACAGGGATCAAACTGTTGTTTTTTTTTTTCCCAGTTTTAGTTAAAACCTGATCTCAGACCAGATGCACTTCATGGCATATGGAACCTAAGTGAATAAGGGTCATGGTGCCCCCTCCAGATCTATTAAAGGCTGAGGATACAAGCAGTGGGTGCCACTGTTACAATCTAATTATTTCTGGGAAAGAAAGGCTTATTAATTTTGGTTTTTATATAATCAATAAAACAAATCAAGGCATAACAAACAGATGTGTTGTGAATTATCTTGATTTCTTTGTTTACACAAGGTCTTCTACAATCAAAAAGTTAAGTGATGCTTGTAGTGAAATCGGGGGGGGGTCACAAAGTACTTGCGGCCAAAACCCAATCGATGGACAGAAAGAAGGGGCGGAGCTGAGGCTCAGCCAAACAGTGAGGGAGTGGTCCATTCCAAACAATGACCACTCCCCACTTCATCCATAATTCACTGCTGCATCAACTCATCTATGACCCACACAAAAATAAAGGATACTACTTCCTTACACATAGAATCCATTAAAAAAAAAATAATTCATCATGACTAATTCTGCGTCAAGCAAAGGGAAAGGCGTTCATTAAGATTACTTTGCTGTTGAAGGATTGTGACTGCTGTGGTTAGTGTATTGGGTATTGCAACTGTAACATACTATGTATGTTGTAAAATACCATGTACCTGCATAAAAAAAGAATGAAAAGAACATACAAACCCGCCTATTCCTGAACACAGGTATACATGTCCAATCAGCCGTGTACCCTCCTATTTGGGCCACAGTAGCGTAGCTGCACAGCACAACGCAAGCGGTAGTTTTACAGATATTTTAAACTGCCTACATATTCATCTCGGTGATTCAAAATTAACAGCCACATGGATGTATAACCATGTACAACACTGCCCCCACTGTTGGCAAATAAACATAAACCACATGGCTGGTGTTACGCATTATAAATCCATGTGACTTGGATTTCGGATCACAGAGATTTGAATCGCGCGGTGCAAGAGGACAACGGTACAGTGACCGTTTGAAGAAGGGGGAGAAAGAAAAAAAAAAAAAAAGCATGGCTACCACTTGCAGTGTGCAGTCATGAAAATTATGACCCTTAAATCTTCTGGTTCCTTGAACTCATTTGTAATCCTGAAAGAATGTAAACTTAACAGTGGCCTGGGCCACATCATGGCACGGGCTTGTGATATTATGGAAACTGAACACGGTGATAGAACTGCGTTGCAGATATAACTCTGCCTCTCCGCTCAGAAATTTTAAAAAAAGGGGGAGGGGCAACTGACTGGAAGGGTAACAAACATAGCTGCCTGATCATTACACCTCCCTCCCTCTTCTAGAGATTAAGGGATTTAGAGGAAAATAAAAATGGCCCTCCCCTCCTGCCCCCGGGCTTAGCACCCTTATCTCTCTCCCAAATGTGTTTTTTTCCTCCTCTTTTTTTCTTTAATTTGACTGCCAGATAGCTCTGCCAAATAGCATAGCACTAAAGTTAGAAGGCCAATAAACGACAACCAGAATTACCAGATTATTCATGACATCATCAACAGCAACAATGATAAAAAAAAAATTATAATAATCATAGTAACAACAGCAACGACAACAAACTACTCATACTACTAGCTAGTGCTACTGCTACCACTAACACCTACTACAATAATAAAAACAACAATAATAATAATAATGAACTTGGTTCAACTAATATTAAATAAAAGTCCAGGCAGAGAGAGTAAACAGAGACGGGGGTGTCGAGATGAGATGCCCACGCCGACAGTGCCGTCCTGACCGTGCCCATACCCCTCCCACGCCCCCCTCCAGGACTCCAAAGCCCCCTACACGCGCGCTGTATCTTGGATACTCCCTCCGCCCCTCACCCTGTTTAAATGGCCGTGGCATCCGGAGCGGTCTTTTCCTTGGGGCTGGCATTGTCCGGGTTTGCGGGAGTGTCCGTGCTTGCCCCCTCCTGTCCAGTTTTGTCCTTGTCCCCTGCTGTGTTGCCGGTGGGAGTGGAGGAGGGTCCCGGGGAGGATAGGGACCGCCCCGGAACGCGGTACGCCGCCTGCAGCTCCTGCAGCCTCTCGGGGCTGGGCTCCCACTTGGCGAAGCCTGCCGCGTTCTGCAGGAAGATCACCGCCGTGCCGTGGACCGCCTTGTAGTACATCTCCTCCCTGCCACAGAGTGAAGCACTGAGCATTCTGGGCACTTCTGCGCTGACCCACTGGGCCAGCTAAGTATAATATACTCATACAGAGACGCTGCTTTTTACTGGCTTACTGGTTTTCTGACCAGATTGTGGAGTATTAGCAAGATTTTCAAACATTTAAACAGAAATACTCAAGATAACCCGACAACAGTAAAACAACTTCAGATCTGATGTCACATAAAGAACTAAAGTAAATGTAACAATATTACAGAATAAATGAATAAAAATTAGGAAGGTAGTTCAGGAAGGGGCACTGGGGATGGAGGTTTACCTCTTGCAGATGTGCTGGGAGCCGCTGCGATATTCGTGCTCGAAGGCTGGCACGGTCATCTGGTGGCGACGGAACGGACTGGCCTCCATGCGGGTCAGCGCCGGGGTTGGGGGGTCGCGCCACTCTGGGACGAAGATGATGAAGGACAGAGGCTCGTTCGAGCGCTCCAAGAGTTCCTGTGTGACATGCCACATGGTTAGAGCCAAAAACAGAGAGCCGGTTTCATTGTCACACACATTCACTCTTAAGTGATCGATGATAACAGATTTTCTATGCCGGGTTTAGACAGTCCTTTTGCCAAAGGAGACTCTGGGGCCCTTAACAGTAACTCCTGGTACCTTCAAACTTATTTAAACTGGAAGACCTTTCCTTATAGTATTGGCGGACCTCCATATACACAGTGAGTAATGGCTACATGGCTCACATTTTTACACACTGCACTGTCTATACTATCTATATTACTGTCCAAGCAATTAAGGGTAAGTAAATGCTGGGCACACCATTGTACAGAAAGCATTGATCAAGTGCTCGTTCGTGGATCAGAGATCCGAGGAGCATTTCAGTGATTACAGGAAGTCACTGTGTCGTCTGGGGCTCACCTCGAAATGCGTCACCATGGCGTCCATCAGCTCCTCACAGAATGGGGGGTTGGCCTCAAAGGAGCCGCTGGCAGGACTGAAGCTAAGGAAGGGCCTGTGTTGAGGAAGCAGTGTGGAATGATGGTTAGAGAGCTAGGCTTACAACTCAGTGGTACTGGGTTCGATTCCAAGGTACTGCTGCATTCTAGACTCAATAATAGAGCATGTCGGAACGCTGACTGTGTAAGTTGCTATGTAATGTTGTGTAGTGTCAAGCTGTGTAAAAATCAGTGAGGTGTCAAATCCTGGGATAACCCAATGTTACTGTACCAGGGATGGAAACAGCTCTGCCACCGTGAGCCATTCAAGTTGTTTTGGGACGCTCTTTCTGCAAACTCACCCTCGTGACCCGAAGAAGCCATCGATATCCGGGAAAGCAGAGCAGAACTGCTTGAAGTAGCAGTTGAGCGGCGAGGCGAAGCACTCGAAGGTGACGCCGAACTGCTTGTGCAGAGCCTCGAACACAGGCACGGGAAGCGCCCCCTGGAGGCCCGTGCCCTCGTTTACACCCGAGCCGAACATCACCTGAGGAGCGCGGCAGGAGCAGAGAAGAAAGTGCTGAGAGAAAGCTGGGTATTCAGGGCCTCAAATAAACCTTGTGCCAAATCAGGATGACAGGACAGCTTTCAAGCCAATGTACCTGTGATACACAGAAATCCCCAAAACATCTGGAGCTATTAATGCTTTGGGAGCGTACTTCACCAGGCCTCCTCAAGACCATCTGAGCTCAGAAACAAGCTCAAGACTACTCGAAAACTTTTCATCTAAGTTACATGTACAAACTAAGGCTCCCAAAATTTTAGTGCACAGGTCCTGTTTGATGAATCAACTCAGTGTTTGTGACACACAAGAAATTGTAGGCCAACATGTGTCCCCAAGCAAGTCCTCCAAGCCGCCATTTACCTGGTATCGTTTGATAAGGCACCACACTCGTGACAGGAACTTCTCAAACCTAGAATCATCAATGCAGCTGTATCGGTAGAGAAGCTCCTGAAAATGAAGAAATAAAAAAAAAAAAAAATAGTCAGACAGACATTTTATAAATGGTCAGACACTGATTAGTGGATCTGTGAGAACAGGGTATCATTTGCAGAAAAAAGCTATTTATTGCATGATTCATCTTATACACCTTTACCAAAAAAAAACATTCAAATATGACCAGGATTTTATGTCCTCTTTCACCCCAGCTAAAAATCTGTTCATTTACATTAAAGTTATGAGGTTCTACCCCAGGATTGTTACTGTATTATTTTGTTCCCTTTGTAGCCCCACAGTTTGAAATTAATCATGCCAGTTTTTTTCAGTTGCAAATACAAGGACATGAAAGTGAAAGTGCACATTTTAATCGCAAAAGTCATATGCCTGACAGGGTGTAGGTGGTTTCAACACATTCTTTGGGAGGTTAACTTACCCAGCAATGAAAACAGTTACAAACCCCTTGTTTTTAATTTTTTTTTAAATTTTCAAACAACAAAAAATCTTTTTTATACATTTACAATTGCCACCTATGCTTCTGGACACCCAGTGTATAATTAGATGGAAAATTCCAGAAATGAAACCAAGGCACTGTGTGACAGGACTCCTCACCAGCTTGTTGAAGTAGTTGCGGTTGACCTTGACCATCTCCCCCTTGAAGCGCAGGCAGGCGATGTCGTTCTCAAAGTGCAGCTCGACTCGGGGCTGGGGCGGCGAGGGGATGGCCAGTCGGACTGGGTAGCAGTACACCAGCCGGTCCTGGACCTCGGGGGTCTCTGCTCCATCTGTGACAATGAAACATGAAAAACGTGTTTTAAATTCTCCTGCCCGGGAGATTTTGTAAGGTACACATGAAATTTCTTCACAATCGCATATTTGTTTTTGTGAATCCGCCACACTTACACATTTTTCAAATGTACAGGTCAAAATGAAACAGAAAAAAAAAGTGTTCATATTCATACCAGCTGACAGGCCAGACTATTTTCCCCACCTCATCACAAGCAACAAGAGCGTTTTTGAGCCACGACATCACACTGAATGTCGCTGTAATATGCCAAACAAAAGCACACAGTTTGCATTATGAATTCAGTCCAAGGCGGGGGGAAAAAGGCTCAACCTGTAGCTGTTAGCATGAGTCCAGCTGTTAGCGTGAGACCATCCTTCACCCCAATGCGTTCATCCCCCTCCTCCCCCGTTTTTACTGCCACACGTAAAAAGATGGTTTTCTGATGCCATCATAGCTTGGAAATAAGCCGACACAGCACCAGCCGTGAAAGGGAAAAATGGGATGAAATAAAAGCTAACCTGCAGCCTGTACAAAATGAGTCAGCCAGGCTCCAGGAGTGAGGTGGGAGATGGAGGGGTGGGGCTCTGCGGTGACTCACCGGTGATGTTGCAGTCCTTCAGCAGGGCCTGATGCGCCTGGCGGATGCGGCGCACATACTCTGTGGAGATGTGGTAAATCTTGGTGCAGATCCCCTCCACCGAGTCTTTGGCCACCGCTGCGACGTGAGGCCCGCACTGCTTACGCAGGTGTTCCAAACGATCCTGGGAAAAGCAGGACAGGACACAAAATACCTGAAATGTTATCACTTTAACACAGAAGGGCAGTGTAGATGTTTCTTTAAAAAAAATCAGCCAAGCCCTTTTTCCTTAAACAAATCCATTGCTTCCATTCACTGCACAGTTTGACGGTGGTCGTTGAGTCGGGAGGGGGTGCAGTTGTCACAGGCAGACCACAGGTGCCCATTCGACCACAGCTGTTGCTGGTTTGCAATGAGACAGGCCCACCCCCGTTTCCTTGGCAACACCACACCCAATCATGCACTACCCTTACGGCTGTAAGCCACAGGCAGCAATACCATGGACAAGACTTGATACCATACGTGAGGCACAACCATGCCCAGTGCAGTGTCGAAGCAGCCTGAGTGCTAATCGGCTAATGACTAAACAGATCACCTGTGGAATAGGGCCATACACATACCATATAGTCCTCTTTGCTGGCAGAGTGGTCTTTCCTCAGCCAGTTGATAGTGTCCTCTACATTCCACTTCACAACCTTCCTGCTGTCTGGTGTGGCATTTCTGCAGACATAACATAGGGGTCACCTCCAGTGTACAACATGAAAACAGTAAGTGTAAAAAGCCAACACAAAGACACAAACAACACAAACTTTCCAGGGCCTTGAAAACACAAAAAAAAGAATCCTTCTCATTCTTTCAGTCAGAAGTCTAAACTTTTTACCACACATACGAAACAACAGTGTGTGTACAAATATATATAACTATGCATCTTCCCATCTTTGTGAAAACTGAAAACAAAAGCTGTGGTAAAAGATCGTGCCAAAATCACCTCGAGTCGATCATTTTCTTAGCAGCCTCTGCATATTTGAATAAGAGCTTTCGGGCTTCCTCCTTGTATTTTATGCGTGACAACCTAAAAGCATAAAGCAAGGAATAAACGGAAAAACAGAGACAAACACCAAAACCATACTTAAACTGATCATTTTGTGATGCTGCACACTGCATATGACTGAAACAGTAATTCTAAAGGTATTTTTGTATTACACAGTACTACTTCACTTTGCTATCACAAAATCGGTGTATGAAATAAACGGTATCCACAAAACAAAACAGATTTTATAAAATGGGGAAAGCAATGAAAGACAAAAACCTTCACTACTATACAGGCAGACAGCATGTAATTCATAGACATTGGACTCAAGCTCAATTTAATACAGCTGCAATGAGTTCTCTTCGAACGTGAGTAACAAAAGCAAGCAAGTGTCACTGGTAGTTTATTCTTTGTTCAAAGTTCTGAACAGTTAGACTGAATCAGGGCCCAGGTGAGTTCCGGTGACGTACAGCCAGAATCAGCCGAGCGAAGCGCACTCTGACCTGATAGGGATGTCGTTCATGACCTCTCGGAACATGGAGGGAGATATGACGGGGTCGCACTCGCTGGGGAGCAACGGGTCGCTCCCCTTGTCCACCACCTTCCGCTCCAGCAGCCAGCGGTTGAAGGACTCCCGAGGGGGCTCGATTCCTGGAGAGAGCAGTTCAGTTAAATATAGAAAACCTTCCCATATCGCGGCTTTCCACGATTTTTCATGGGTTGGCAACAAACAATTAAGTTTGTTGCCAGCCCATAACAACAAAGTCCTTTTAAAATGGAATTGTCCTTTAAAACTGACTAACCATTTGAGCAATAGACAGCACGGAACCCCCCCTGCTGGAGGTGCTCGCTACACTCGCATGCTCACTTTGCTTGCCAAGAGGGGCTTAAAATTTTACACGGTTTTTCCACATCGCGGGAGGGCTGAGCCTAGAACCCTCACGATACGGGAGGGTCACCTGTACATGCCGTGCATAAAGAGCTGCTGATCAGACCAGCAGCTGCTGAAGCGTCCGGTAGTACTGCCATATAAGATGCTTCCCAACCTTGAGGAGAATGCAGTCAACTGAAAGACAACTCCAGTGGATTTTGAAAGAATACCCTTTCTTGTTTGAGCCACAAAATCTGCACTGCCTCGAAATCTAAAGCACACCTAAAACTGCCCATTTTTATCTGATTTTCATTCTAAGATAAAATTGTAAATGTCCTTAAAAGGACAAGATTTTATTCTGTTTAAATTCCAGAGACTTAGACCATGACCTAGTCAAAAATACTCTTTTTTATGAACATATACTATTTTATCTAAGAACGCCAAGGACACAATCAATAGGACATATTTGTGTTTCTCTGATAAAAAGGAAATTACTCAAATGAATACACTGAAAGTGTTTTCAGTGAACTGCATATTCCCTCAGAGGGACTAAGTGCATTTGATTGACTCCCAGCCTTAGTTTGCTTTATTGGATGCTGGCCTATATGTCCTTCAAAAGGGAAACAAAGTCTCAGTTAAAATTGATTAAGAAATAGTAGGAAAACTGATCATCTCTATCATTCAGGTCTTTAGACTGACAAAATAAGGCCTTTGGTTAGTTTGCTTATGAACCATCCAGTTCAGCTTTTCCTCATGGGTTTACAGTCTGCTACCCAAGAACAGCATACTGCCTTCAATGAGTTTCAGGCTTTCAACCTGTTAGCAAACAGCAGGCCATGCAAATCCAGTCAAACTCAGGCTTGGCCCAAAGGCTGGGCCCTACGGAAGGGTCATCTTTTTA